TTCCTTTTGAGTTTGGACATGATCTCACGAAGTTACTAAGTCACCCAGGCTAGGCTTGAACCTGAGCCCCTCCTGCTGGCCTGTGTCAGTTATTTTAAGGACAGAAGTAGCTGCTGATGAAATATGTTGCTTGAAATATAACTTGCAAGCAAAGCATCAAAATCTAGAATGGAAAACATTAACATAACCACCAAAGAATGTGCCTCTGACACCATTTCAACCTTAAAAAAAAAAGTAACTGGTTTCTCTCTGTGACACGGTGATAGGCAGGGACTGGCCTTCTCTGAGGTTGGAGGTTCCATCTGGCTGGCTGGAAGCCTCTGTAACAGGGGTTTGTGGGTGGGGAGGGGCTGACCTCATCGGGGATGAGGGCTCTGCTGTGTGCAGGACCACGAGAACACACCGGAAGGAGAGGACACTGCAGACTTGGGCTCTGGGTGCTCATGGCCAAAGCTGAGCGGGAAGGTTGGAGTCCCCTGGAGGATGTGAGTTTGCTGGGAAAACACAGGTCCCCTAAGTGGGGCTCTTGGTGATAAATCTGTGGCAATCCTAGCTCGCCTGTTTTCCAAGTCTGGATGACCTGGAGACCTTAGCGACTTCTTCCACGGGGAGCTCAGCTCCTCTGGGAGTCTGGCTGCCCAGGCAGGTACTGTGGAGTTTGTGGGGGTTCTAAGAAATGCCCCAGGTGACAGTGACGGTTGCTGTTGCTCAGCACATTTACTCAGGGTTCAGCAGGCCCTGATGGGTGAACCCCGCTGTCTAGTGTGCTGTGGGACTGGGGACAATGTCCAGCACCTATAGCTGACTGAAAGACTGGCAATTTCTTGGACAAAACAGAGCAACCCAAGGAGACTTTGTTCCAGGCTGTCTACCACAGGGGCAGAACTGTCAGCAGACTCATGGGATACCCCAGGGTGCTGCCTCAGAGCACAGAAGGTGTCCTCTTGGAGGGACAAGCAGAAAGGTGGACTCCAGGGGTATAAGGCCGAAGCTGCATGGATAATACGAGCTTTAGTGGCCACTAAGATGAGGTCAATGCTAACCCTTCACCAGGAGACCCACAACCTTGGGGACAGGTGGTGGCTGGCTTCTGGTTCGGTTGTCTTTAAGCCTTATCTGACTTGTGGGCAAGGTGAGAGTGGCATTTGCCAGGGACTTGAAGAGCTCTGTATTCTTGAAGCGACCTGACTTGCGAGACTATCTCCACGAGGTCACAGCTGGCCAGAAAAGATTTTGTCCACCTGATCTATCTGTGTTCAGTTCTTCCCAGAGCTCAAACCCTTGGTGAAGGGAGTTTAACTTTACAGAGGCTGGTGGAGAAAATAGATAAGGATCTTGAAGGTGGCCTCAAGCCGGGGATGGGAACTGGACAGAGTCTTTTTAGGACTCCAAGGCGGCAGACAGGAATAGGAATATCGAAGCTCTGCACTCAGTATGAGTTGTGCTGCAAAGTTTCATGCGTATCAAAGTTTTAAAATGTATCTCAGTAAGAGACACACTGCCCTGCCTCCCAGGAAATCCTCCCCATGGCTTCAGACACCCTGCAATGATGCCCTCCTGTTTTGCCTCTGCAGGCCTCTTTCCCAAGGGCCTTTAGTAGCTCTGTCCTTGCTGCCTCCATGTTCCAAATGGATTCAGAACATTTCCTTTGCATGGTAATTGGACTTTTGGGTAGAGCTAGACATCACATGGTCCAGATCCAGTAACTAAGTTGGACCAGGACACAGTGCTACATTTTCAGGAGCCCCGCCTTCTGCTGGGTGGAGCTCGGCAGCAGTGTTCACTGTAGTTCTGTAGTTTGCACCCCACTAAGCTGTGGCACTTTCACTGTGGATTTTGGTCACACCTCGTACTTTGCTTTGCCGTCAGTTGATCAACACTGCAGGGCTGGGTGTGGATAAATGGGTCACAGCACAGTTGAGATGGGGACCAGAGGAGGGTGCAGGGAGATGGCATGGGGAGAAGCAGTGGGCCTGAGGCTCCCGGGGATCCCCAGTGGTGGCAGTCTCACCAGCAGCCACCTCTTCAGCCTTCAAACATGGCTGTGCTGGCCGGAGGGTGAGGCAGAGCTGGCCTGGGCATTGCGGTTCCTGAGTCAGCCTTGCCTCTTCGCCGGGAACCAGACTCCGTGCAATGTTAATTATCTGTTAGAAAAAACAGTTTATTTTACCAAATTTTGAAAACAAAAACTCGATTCCTTGGCAGCCCCTGTCATTTGACTCCCACAAGTTATATTTCTACATACGCGTCGTAAAAGTTTGAGAAACAGCCGTTCAGTGGTCTTTTAAGAGGTGATAACGTACGTTCTTCACTCTCAACCGTGGCACCTACACATGCAGAGGCTGAGTCACAGTCAGAAATATGCTCCGTGTGGTTGGTTCCCCCACTTGTGCTGTATTGCCAGGGCTCGGGGTGGGGGCCTCGTGGTGACCCTCAACTCAACAACATTCTATGGCCTCCCGACAGATCGCATGGCCCCCTGGGCTTTGGTTATTTGATCGGCATAGTGGCCAGCGGCTGAGGAGTAATAAATTGCGCTCTATTCATTTCTCTGTTTTATGGAGTGTGGAGTCAGGGTAATTTCCTCATCCGGGTCCCCTGAATTTCCTGGTAGCATTGTTTGCAGTCTCAGGACCCTGATGGGGAATCCAACTGGTTCCCGGCCTGTGGGAAGTGGTGTATGGACGGCTTGCTTGTATCACCAGCAGCCCTCACCACCCTCTTCCTTTCTCTTCCACACGGTTCCCCAGGGCTCAGCCTAAACGTGGCACACACAGCGAGCATTCCTGGATTGTCTGGTCATTCCATGCAGTCCTCTGGAACTGGCTTGTAAGACAGCGCTCACGCCGCCAAGCGAGGCCTGAAAATTTGAAAAGAGATCACAGCAGAGTCCTGCTCCTGTTCCCTTCTTCTCCAAATGTCTGCAGTGCTGTGCTTCCTGCACTCCCCAGGTTCTGGTTCTGCCTGCGCTTCTCACATCTCACTGTACTCACAGGGATCGTCTTCAGCCTTCTCTCCGGCTGAGGACATCTGTCCTTCCTGACTCTGGACCACCTGGCTTCTCTGCCATGGTGACACTCGCACCTGCACCTGCGATCTTGTTCCAGTCCTGTCCTCACAGCACCGGCTTCTCTCCTATCTGAGTCTCACCTGGCCCCAGGCTCCTCATGAGAGTTGGGATTCTGGCTCCACTTGCTCATAGCAGGCAGCTGTTGGGGAAGTGGGGAGGAGCTGGGGGCAGGAAGGCCCTCAGCGGTGTTCATGAGTGAGGAGACGGGAGATGCAGGCACGGCAGCTGGAACAGAATAGGGTGCTGGTTGGGAGTGCAGCGCTGGTCTGGTTTACAGATGCTGCAGCAGAGGAGGCCCGAGGAGCTGAGAGCAGAGACGGTGCTGGTGCTGTCTGTGAACACAGAAAGCACAAGAGCAGCCCCAGCCGAGGTGGCAGGAGGTCAAAGATGAGAGGCACTTTAGACCCAGACTGACCTTGCTGGAGGCACAGCAAAGGCCCCATTCGGTGTATTTGTGAGGATTTGGGGATCTGCCTGCAATTCCTCTTCTTGTGAGAGCTCTGAACTCAGCCTGCTTCAGCTTCAGTGGGAGGAGAGGCATTGTGGGTCCCATAGCACCCCATGGAAGTTCAAAGGCAGAGTGACAGGAGGAACAAGCAGTAAGGACTGGGGCCAGTGGCCCTACTGCTGCTGGAGCCTGAGACAGACCACCTGAGACGAGAAGAGGTCCCCTGTCTGTTTGGCAGGGACCTCACTCATCAGCTGCGCTTACCACTGGGCCCTGACCTCAGGCCTTGCACCTCGGTGGCTGAGTGCAGCTCAGGGTCTGGTCAGGCCTGGGTCTGTCCATGCTATCTGCACTGTCCAGCATTCCCCATAATGGAGACGGAATGGTCTGTGCTCCCTTCTCCCTTTTCTTTTCCAACACGGAGGATGGGGAATTGAACTCAGGTCTCATCCACCATTTTCATTTTTTTTTTTTTTTTTTGACACAGGATCTAAGTTGCTAAGTTGCCCAGGTTGGGCTCAAACTTGCAGTCCTCCTGCTGAAGCTCCCAGGGTGCAGGGATAACAATGCGCACACCGCCAGCCTCACAGGTGCCATCTGACACGTGCCTGTCCAGCCTGTGGCCTGAGTTCCCTGTTAATTCCATGCTGTGGCTGACGCTTCCCTGTCTGACAAGGCTACCTCCAAAGCAGCTCCTCTGCCGTGCTTTCCCTTCCCACCAGATGTGGGGAAACTGCACCCCTAGGCAGCCTGGATGCACAAGGGCTTGGTGGTGCAGGCTTGCAGAGTCCATCCTCCCAGAAAAATTGCTGTGCATTCCACATGTTGGGTGTGTGGCCCATCCTGGAGCCTAGGCGAGAATCTTTCTCTCCCTAGTGGGTTACAGAGACGATGACTCTGGCCTTTCTCAGGCGTGTGTCTTGGGGACTTTCGCTCACCTCCTGTGCTTTGCTTTTCTCATCTAGAAAACTGCAGATGAAAATACAACCTGTGTTCTAGGGCTGCAGAAAGCCCCATTGGAGTTGGGTGGCTGTTAATCAAGGGCTTCCTAGGAGTTGTTCACTGCCCCAGTGTGCTACAGTTCTTACCCTGTTTAATCCTCAGCACAAACCCAGGAAAACTCTTAGAGGACAAAACATGGAAAGGTAGACCAGAAGGTTGTGGTTCAGGCTGGCTTTACTGTTCATTTGCTGCACAATCTTCAAAAAGTAAGTTGGGTTTTATTGGCTCCCAGCTGTGCATTTTCTGGTGGACAGAATGATACCCCCTTGGAAGGGTCCTGAAGGACTTCCTGGGAACACACACATAGTGCATTGAGACCCATAATAGATACAGCTGCCCCCCTTAGATGGCTGGCATCTCCACTGACCCATCTGTGATTGTACTTCATGTGTAATCACTGGTGTGTGTGTTTTATTCACTCACCATTAGATCGTGTGTGTTTAGATTGCTGATATTTTATGCTTTTTCTCTTGCATCCAGGTCTTGATGATTTTCAACTTTTGTGCCACTTCCACAAGGTGATGAGGATGTCTTCTTTCATGCAGGAATCGTCGGGATAGACCAGGTCTCGCCTCTGTCTCAAGGACACAGACAAACAGCTGAGGACTGAGTCTTTGTTCCCCAAGCAGGCGTGTCTGAGAGACCCGGTGCAGTCTACCATGGCGTAGGGCCAGTGTTGTGTCGTCTACCACAGCGACCGGCCAGTCCTACCACGACATCTTATAGTCACAGCACTTTTCAGAACTGGAGAGGGACAGCAGTGCAGAAGAAGAAATTTAAAAATGGGGTCACAAAACATGACTTGAGCTAAAGCATTGCCCCTTTGTGATTTTTAGCTCACAGATTTGGGGATGTGGAGAAAATGAAGCTTCGATAACGTTATTTGTGCTATTTGCCCAGGAATAATGTAAATGGTGTGTTGGAGGCAGACACAGAGACACTCCCAGGCAGTAAGTGTTTGCATTTTCTAAGGACTGAAGAGATTTCTGATCCTCCTTAGGGAGAGTCTGAGGGAGAAATGGACATACTCATATGCAAGGAGAAGGAAGATAAGATGGAAACAAAGCATCCATTTGTAGTGGGAATAAAAAGGGAGAATCAGTGCTGTGGTCCCCCAGTGCTGGCACTGGCTGCCACAGAGGTACCCAGAGCTGGGTGAAGGTGAGCTCTGGGTCTGAGGGTGAGGGTGGCATTTACAAGTAGGAGGAAATGTGTCCTGTGACTCCAGAGTGCTGGAAAGGGAGAGAGAACCACTGGCCAGAGACTATTTCAGCTTTGCAGGGTGGAATGTGGACTGTTTAGGACCAGACTGAAGCAATCCCAAATGCCAGAAAAACTACATCATTAAAACGAATTACGGAATTAGGAGAGTCCAAACCATTTCCGGAACCTCTTGATTCCCGCCCAGTGCTTTGCCTGTGAGAGATGCTGCACTCTTGGCTCTGAATGCAGTGAGCATGATTTCCCTGATCTCTACCCAAAACTTCTGTGAGTGATCGCCTCAGAATCCCCCTTTACCACCTGAATGCAATGTGATAGTTACTGAAACCACCTGGAATCCTTCTTGATAAAAAGCACAGTACAAAATGTTCTATTACATATATAAATGATTTGCTGTCTATTGAGTTAATACCATTTCACCAATTACACCGACAGTGTATTTTCACTTGTTCTACCTTGCTAACGATGCAAAAGGAGCTCAGGATGTTTCAGCTAGTGGAGCAAATGTGTTAGTACTAATCTGCCCAGAAGTTGGGGTATCCATTAGTACCAGCACAGCTATTTCCATGGCCATTTGTGGAAGCTGAATCATTGACAGAAAATGTGTAAAACAATGAGAGACTAAGAAAAATATACTAGAATTATAGCAGATAAATGCTAAGCTAGGCTTTCTATAGACTATTTCCTTTAGGTAGGTAGAACCTGTTAATTTTTAGGAGCTTGCTTTTAGCTTAGCCAGATTATGATCATGAACAGAAAAGAGGTGGAATGGAGTGGATAGTGTGAGTGAATTTTCGCATTGTTGTCTTTTCCTGAGAAGAGACATATTTAAAGTCTTTTCCTAGGAGATGATTCTAGGAAGAACAGTTCTTCGTGATCAGGGCCACCAGCCCCCTCACATGACTGAGGTGAACAAGAGGGGCTGCAGGTGTGACATAGTGATGACTGCCTAGGTCGAATTGCATCACACTCCTGGTACAGATGGGAACCTTGCGGGCAATGGATTTCCTGTCAGGGATGGTGTGGGAGGTGCAGAAGTCTTCAATCTTGTGCTCAGAATTTCTCTCCTCTAAAGAGCTTTCATTGCACCAGACATGTGCAGTAAGGATCTTCCAGCGTGATATCTTTCTGTCACTGAAGCTGCTTGGGAAGATGGGGTTAGTTTAATGTCGTGATTAGCACTAACTGTGAGTGAACAATTTTCAAATAGAAACCAAGAATTAGTAATAGAATGAAGACTGCGTTAAATATTTTCACGAGTGTTCGTCATAAACATAATCACGTCTTTGGAAAGGCAGTGTCCAGCAATGAGGTGGTCATAACTACATACAAAAGAACCCAATTTTTACATAACAACCTGAACGCACTAAACCAAATGCGATGTCAGTAAAGCATGGCCATGAGGTCAGGACGACACCTCTGTCCATCTTTGTGTCCCAGGGGTCTAGCATGAGGGACAAGTACCCAGGACTCCTTCTGTGATTGCTAAGAAATGTAAGTGCTTTTAAATCATGGAAATCCCCAACCTGAGCCTCATCAGTAATTACAACCACAGTTCCCACTAGATCTTTTATTCATGTACTTGAGATCTGTTTCAATGGCCTAGCCTGAATATCATCCCTTTTTGACACTATTTCGTTCATAAAATGCTTTTTTAGTACCAACAGACATGAGATTGAAAAAGGAGAAAGTTAGTCTGAAATGAATGGTTTGGGGAGTGAAGGGCTATACATAGACTCCAGCGGACACAGTAGCCAACCTCTCAGGGCTGGACATTCACAGGACAACACAATGCTGCCCAGGAAGTAGGCAATGTGGACACTTGTGCTCTGAGTGCTTTCCAGGCTCAGTGTGCATCCCGCCAGGTCATTGCTGACAGTGACATCAGGACTCTCTCTTTTGGACTCTGCCGCAGTCTGTAGATGCTCAGAGACCTCACTTGGGCAAAGGGGGCCAACTCCATTGGCTCCCAGTTTCTTCCTTTAAGTAAAGAAATGGTGGCTGGATGACTGAGGCATGCATTGAGTATCTTATCAATATCAAATAAACAACCCTGCTTAAGAAAATGCAACTCCCCCCAAAATTCCAGTTCACAGGAAAGGTGTCATTTTGGTTTTCTGCCCTTCTCATAGGGTTTTGAGAAGAGAGAGAAGAAGGTCGAAGTTGCTTCCTGTGTTGTCACCATTTTATTGTAGTGGCTGGCGGGATGCCTGGCACACAGGGTAGACCAGTAGTATGTGCTGGGCATGTTGGAGGGACAGCAAAAGCATAGAGGTGAGGTCTGGTGTGTGGTCTTGTAGTCTGCACTGTGACATTTTTTTCTCTATCTTTTCTGGTGTCTATATTTTCAAATAGTTTCAGCCTACTTTTTATAGACCTTCTAGAGTCCTATGCCAACTTGAAGAATAAGAATGTCCAGGAATGAAGGAAAACATTTGAAATCCTTGGGTGTTTTTCTTTTTCTTTTCTTTTCTTTCTTTATTTTAAAGTGAATAAAACACAACAAAACAAAAAGCCCATCCAAACAAAGCAGTGAAAGTGGTATACAAGTTTGAAGCATGATAACAGAAAATCAACAATGGCTACCTTACTGTATCTTGTTATTTTCACGATAGTTGTCCATTCCATTGGACATAGTAAAATCAAATAAAACAAACCAGAATAAAACCAATCAAAACAGAACATTGAATAAAGCAAAAACAATAAATCAAAACAAAACAATGCAGTGAGAACAATATTGGATTTCAAAACCAAGACAGAAGGCAATGCCCTGCATTTGCTGTACTGCACACCATCATCCTCTTAGTAGATGCTCAGATCACCAGCCCCAGGCCTGCAAAGTCAGTCAAACAACACAAGCAGTTAGCTGTTTCCCTACCTCAACTGCTATCAACTTAGCTTGTCCTGGGAAGCAGCCAATCACCTACGTGGGGGATTGTTCTTGAGTCTCAGCCCACGCACCGATTGGCTCACGGGCAGGGTGACTTGGCTTCTCTCTTCCTGGGCCCTGCATGGTTTGTGCAACTCACAGGAAGGCCAAATGGGCTTCTTGATGTGCTGCTCCCAGATCCAGCCTGGCTTCTGCCAACTCATGGTGAGGGTGATATGGCTTTTCTCCCTCAGATATTTTTTTATGCTACTCTTCATTAATTTGTAGGCATTCCTCATTTAATACCCCACCTCTTATACCCAGCGGTTGTTTTTTAATTTAATTTAATTTAAGTTTTTGGTGTGCACTCCTTTCTTTGTACAGTGCATCCTGTTTACACAGTATTATAATTTTTTTTTTTTGTCTTTTTCCTTTTTATCAGTACCGGGAATCAAACTCACGACTGCTTGCTTGCAAGGCAGGCGCTTATGCCGCTAAATCCCCAGCCCCCAACAGTACTATAAATTTTTGCTGATTGCACTGTACAGGACCGTGCTGTAGATTTATGTTCTGTTATACATTACAGTACTACAGGCAAGAGTTATGCAAATAAAAGCCAAGCCATCAGGCTGGAGCTTCTTTGGACCATTTCTCTGTTCTGAATATTGTGATGTACATATGCTGCCTAATTCTTCATTTAGTGGCTAATTCATTTAGCATCCTGGTCGCAGGGTCAGAGCTGGAATGCTAAAGGAGGAATCTGTACTTACTTATCCACTTTAAAAACGTTTACTGTTCCTTTTATTATCTATAAATCATTATTGAATTGCCCCAAATAGTCTTATTGTTAATACTATCCTCTAATGAGCCTTGTGGTCTGAAAACAAAGCTCAAGCTGTAAAAAGTGAAGATCCACACTGCTCAAAAAAGTGCAATAATATGGACCGTTAATCCCCAAAAGTACAGGATACCCTGAGGTGTACTAAATTGTGGAGGAGCGTATCTAATAAATATCACCTTAGATACTGTCAAACAGAAATAGCTACCAGCAAGTAGGCTAAAGGATGATTTACTCAAAAGGTCTTCTGCAGAGAAGAAGTTTGAAGAGCTTATCTAGAAATAAAACTTTTGGCTGGTTTCACTTGGGAGCTGATAGAAATAGCACGGCTCTGGGCACCAGGGTCTCTTCCGTTCCAGTTTCAGATTACCTTTGTGCCTTAGTGTGCTTGAAAGCCTAAAACACTTGACTTAACCCATCTCAAGTGCTTCCTAGTGAATCAAACAACACAGGAAAAAAAAAACCATGAACCTTAACAGAGCCCAATTTGAAGTGGAAGGACTCCGGAACATTAAAGTCATTTGGTCTAAATCTTGCCATCTAGGAAAGAAACTGAGGTTTCGAGGGCCAGTGGCTGGTGCGGTTACAGAAGGAGGGTGCACATGAGCTGTTCCCATGGTGCTCCACTCTCCTGCCCTGCATCACATGGGCAAGTCCTCCTGCCACGGCTTGGGCCTGGCTCAGTTTCCCAGTCTAACCTCCTGGTGTGCTCCCTATGTCACCTCCAGCCCCTACCTCCTTCCAGATCATCTCACTGGAACCAGATCCCACTGTTTGTCTGAATACAACACGACCTTGTAGGAAGGTTATTATGGTATTCACTTGAATTTAAATGTCATTTCCTCAAAGAATGTCTTGTGTCCTTTCTCGTACACTATTGGTGGCAAGTCTGCAAGGGGAAAGCTGGCTTTGTCCACCGAACTGTTCAAGTAATTCACCTTCTAGGGACACACAAGGCAAATTCACTTGCATTCTTTGGATTTGGATGTCCATGGTGCAGGTGAGGAAACTGAGGTCCTGGGAAGGTCTCAGAGCAGAAAGTGGCTGAGGTGTCATCCAATTCCTGCCTGAATTCTCCTCCTGTGATGCTTCGTTTATGTCCCTTAAGCAGGGCTCCAGTCCAGCAGTTGGAAAAGCGCAGGTTTGGTCATTTCTGTGGAGGTCATTGCATTGTTCAGATGAGATCAGTGTTAAGTCCACGGTGTGCCTGGGCCTGGTCTAATCAGCTGAAGGCATGGAGAGCTGAGTTTTCTGAAAGAAGAAACTTTTCTTTTGGGCCAGCAGAAGTTCTAGCTTGTTGCCCTACAGAATTCATAACCTGGATTACAGCATCCACTCTCCTGCTGGCCTGGTCTCTAGGTTGTCTGCTTGCCCCATCACAGCTGTGTGACTCAGTTCTCTAACATTTTTCACCCTATCAACCTCCTGTGGCTTCTGTTTCTTTGGAGAGCCTTTGCCAGCATTCCTTCCTTGCTCTGCCCATGTGCTTTCTGGGGTCCTGAACCTGAGCTTGGAATAAGGAGGAGACAGGAGCCCTTGTGGTGCATCAGCCTAGAGCTGAACCCTCACGTGGGGGACCAGCATCCCAAAGCCATGCAGCACAAACGACTCCACAGAATGGAGCAGGCTCAAGAGAGGGAAGTCACAGCCACCTGGGGGAGCTACTCAGGGAATAAGTA